TTCATAATTTTTATAAATATATTTTTGAGATAACTCCGACCTCCTATTAGATAAGATGTGTCATTGAAAAGGGCGATGTCAAACGGGTTCATAGGTATTAATTTTAATATTATATTACTCTAAGTAATACGTCAATATAGGCATTACTATTTTCAACCAAAAATGACTTTTATTTTTTCGACCATCAATATTATAATTAAGTAGTTTCCTCTTTTTACCTAAAAATAATCGTATTCTCTTTACCTAAGTTACAGCAAGAGATTTCTATTGTTCTACAAACATTTTTTGTGTTTGTTTATATTAAAATAGTTATTATATAATATAAATAAGTCTTTGTAATTTAGTTTTATGACATTGAAAGCAACGATTAAACGAAGATAAAATAACAGTATAATAGAGGATAGTTAATTTAGTAGAGTCTATTAAATCTATATTAATCAACTATGTAACCATATGTTACATTAGAAATTAGTGATTAACTAAATAAATCAATATGCAAAATATAATATTTTTTTAAAGACACCATTAAAAATAATGACCAATACACTTATCTACACTATATAATAATTATTTTAATGCAAACAAACACAAGACATTTTTGAAAAGCAACGGAAGGTATAATAAGTGTCCTCATTCAAAGTTTATAGGTTTGGGTTATGATGCTCAAAAAAATGAACAATTTTATTTTAAACGAAATATAAGGTTACTCTATTATAATATAATATGATATGCATTAAGTTGTTGTTAAAACAAAACAATTTTGTTCATAGTACGATTCAAATAAAACATAAATGAATAACTTAAACTATAAGAAAATGTACCTATTAATTATTTAGTACGAGTCATCGAGTTTATTTTAGGGATCAAATTACCTTTTCTGTTATTGCGACAGTCTGTAAAACTCTACGTGTGAGACTAATTTTCCTAGGTGTTTGAAATATTTAACTTTAATCATACAGTAAAATAATAACATAAAAATGTATATCAAAAAAAAAAAAAAATTATCTCCTAATCATCAAAATATGTCAAAAAATGAATATATTTTACATCTAATTTATTTTTTTTTATTTTAAGGAATATTATACACTTCCTTATCTGCAGTCTTACTCAAGCTACGTACGTTATTTTTAAGTATATTAAAACAATTTATTTAATATCCTATCTTTTACCTATCTTATGGAAGTATTAAAATATTATGTATAACATTATTTTATTAAATTAGAAAATATCAAAAATGTTTTACGATTTAAATTAAAATGTTTTGTTAATGATTTATTAATGATCAAATGTACATTGAATATATATTTATACCTACATATTATTATAAGTATACAAACAAAATATTATGGATGAAGAAAAAATATTAAATATATAAAGTAATGTCGGCATTTGAAAACGCGTATCACAATATAATTTCGAATTCCGAACAAAACTACAACGTCAAGTCTAGTTATTTATTAATAAATTGAATAATTAATAATTCATTTATTCGTTTTCTTGAATTTTAATCATTCTTATGTTATTATACCTCTTTAATATTTTATACATAATTGAGATATTATTGGAAAAAAGCATTTAAAAAGTTATTTTTTCGATTTTATGTTTAATACACAAAGTCTCAATTAATATACTTTTATTGCTGAATTGTATGTGCATTTTGCAGTTCATGTCTCCACTCATCAACAAAATGGTATGGAATAATGAATACATGATATTATGTTTAGGTGATTGTAAATAAAATATTATTTTGCATTTTAATGAGAATATGATATTTATTTAATTATTATTGTAATTATCATACATTTTTAATACCTAATTATCATTATTATGGTGTATTACCATGAAATAGTAAAAAATCAAAAAAACCTTTACTTGCTTGATAGTTATCATATTGAGCAAGTACCTTAATACTATATGAATATATGACCTACAAAATATTTATATATTTTTTATACAATATGCAACCTACACAAGTGAATACCTATATATGTTATTATTATAGGCACAGAACTTGAATACCTCTACAACTTAATAATTATAGGTAATAGTGTAATACTAATTTAATAGACATCATATTTTTAAAATAAATTAATTTATATTTGTGTTAACAGAGTATAAAATAATTTCAGCTCTAAAATAATATATTTTTCTATAAAATTTTTTTCAATACCTATAGTCTATACAATTCCAATTAGTTATGAGAACAATAAAATATGATTATTTTTTATTAGTAGTTATAGGTAATTTGATGTATTTTATAATTACATAATAAATACATAATTATTATATTTTTATAAATTAGAAATGCGTCATAAAACTCGAAATCGCGCAATACTAGAATATGATTTGTCTGTATAATATTATAAAGTAATAAAATTGTTCGGTGTATATTAATTCAAGTTCCATGTCAAGGCTACTCTGCTGAGAGTCTTCCTATACACCATTTCACTATATTTTCTCAAATTAACGTATTGTATAGAATTGTAAAGATTGTATCTATATACTCATAATAAACGTCTTTTGAGTAAAAAAAAAAAAAAAAAAATATTTAATTCAACTAGCTCCATAAAATATTAATTTTCAGTAAGTAATTTGATGTTTTGTCTGTTTTATATTATTGTTATTACGATAAAAACAAAAAAATAAAAAAAATACAGACTTTTAGAGACTTTATAGAATAATAGCATTAGTATAACACGAATACTATTATACTATTTATACTACATAATTTCTTTTGACTATTTGTTTGGCTTCATCGAGCTACATAAACATGTAAATATTATAATAATTTGAATAAGTAATATTTTTTATGATAAAATAAATAGTGTTTATTCGAGTAAGAATAATATTATGCAAATACGTAGTTTAGTTTCAAATTTAAGTATGATTTTTCGTCGAAATAAAATATTTTCACATAAAATTGAAATAAGAAAAATATTATAACATTGATATTAATATATTATCTTCTGGTCATCAGTCATCACTTTCATCACACAGAGGTTCCGACGTTTTAGTCGATTATATTATAATATTTTATCGATAAAATTATGAATGAATTATAGCATAATGTAAAATATTATAATATTTTGTTTGTGTATGACAAGTGCATCGTCAGTCGTCATCGAAGCTGCGATGCAGATGTACAAAATACCTAAATAACTACGGATAACCTATACATACATGCATATATAAAAAGTAGATAGATACCTATTGGCTACTACACGTGGGTACGTGATTATTATTATTAATTGCGATACCTACTGACGCGTTTTGTAATGTGACAAGTTATTGGGATTTACATTTCATTTTTCGATAAAAAATCAACCGTACCGATATTTTTATATTATATATAATATGTTGTTACGCAAGTTACATTATTATTATTATTATTATTATTATATTTAACGTGCACATTATTAACGTTAACACGGCACGTTTCTATTTACCTATATATTATTATAACCAAATGGAGTCGTCATTAACTAGTTAAAAAGATTAAAATTAGTTTTTTTTCAATATGCTTGATAAATTAACTACTTATTGTTGTAATGACTTAATTTCTCCTAATTAATTTGAAAATACATAATATACGTTAGATTTAAACTGTGTGTAAATAGACATCGTTATATATTATATATATAGCTATTACGTCTTTATTTTGTAATCACGCCGTTTATGATATATTCTGTCGACTGTCCTGAACTATAAGATTATTTTTTATTCAACGAAATGGTTATTTGTTATTCAAAAACTGTCGATGTTTCATAATCACTATATCAGTGATCTAAACAGGAATTCAAATATCAATAAATTAGGCAGTACGTGCAAGATTTTAGTATGTTTTTTTTTTTATATACTTATTTGAAGTTAACATAATTATAGTTCACTACTAATAGTGTTATAAATCTGAGTTATAATAACTATATAAATCGGCTTAAATCACACACGACTAAGGTTCACCGATCTATTAGTATGTATAATATTGTTTATTCGTAAATACGGTGTGTATATACACGTGTAATAATAATAACATACTTACTTACGTATCCCACTGTATGAATATACGCCCACCAATCGGTTGCGCCGATATTATAATGATATAATATTATTATATCACACACCATCTTGAGCAAGACAGATTTATCTATCGATTCCGGTACCGCAATTGCATATTATATTATTATGATAATAGCGTGATTAAATAATAATTATACAAACATATCGTCAGTATGCAAATACTCGGTTGTCGACCGTTTAAATTCTTAGCTAGTGGCAAATTAAGTACACAAAATGCCAAGCATATACTACCACGATAGACGTGACCCCATTCGTAATATTTTTTCTCTGAGAAAACGATGGAAAATCTCACCTCGAGAAAATTCGCGTTATGAAAATCTAGACGTCGTTACAGTTTATTTAATTATTGTATTTGAACACCTATTAGGATTGTACGCAAATGTTTCTAAAAACCTACGTATTTTAAACAAGTATGTCAGTAGCTGGTAGGTATGTAATACGCGCAGTAGCGCGCATTTCTGCTCGACCACCACGAAGGCGGCGGCGGTGGCGGCGGCGGCGGTGTTGTGGGCCTATCCCCGTCGCATTATCGCTATTCGCTATTACTTTCGTACGATATAATATAGCTTTGTCGGCGGCGCACACGCACATTAGATATACCTGTCGAACACCACGAAATAAATAATAATAATTATTATCTCCGTCACGGCGTCCAGCGCAATAATAATATTATACAAGCACATGGGCTAGGCGATAGGCAGCAGACGCGGACAATATTATTATTATTAGGCATATATATTATTATTATTAATTTTTTTTTTTTTTTTATCGCTCGCCCCACCGAAAAATGTATTACGTAGGTAGGTACACGCGCGCGTGCGTTCTGCAGTCGCGGCCGTTTGATCGGGCACCATCGACGACGATTGCCGATCGTCACGCGTATGACATGTCATCGTTTCGGCGGCGTACGAGATAAACGAAATCGTATTATTTATAAGTAGGTACAACCTAGTGTAATATATAGTACCTACGTAATAACGATAGTAGTAGTAGTAATACAATGACGACAATATTGTGCATTGGATGCGAACGCGGCGCACGCGGAATCAAAAGAACCAATAGTGTGCCTATATAGTAAATTATACCGTACAGCTGGTATAGTACCTAAACTTAATAGTAATAATAATAATAATAATAATAATAATAATAATAATAATAATAATAATTTCTGCAGCGGTCCCTCTCTCCCGGACATTTCACGAAGGTCAAAATGCATTGGCATGCATTGCCACCGCGACGTGTGACCGCAGTTCGAAATTTCGTCGTCAACACCGGATTCAGTCGGTCGGCTAAAGGTTCAATGAAAACTCCTCCGACACTCCAACATTCGCTCCGATCTTATAAATACACTGCGATAATAGCCGTGTCGTCGCGAATATCCTAAACATTACAGCAGGAAACACCAGCCGATCACCATCGATCCGACGACTCTCCGCAACACGTGCCACACCGCCGCCGCCGCCGCCGTACTTGTCCGTCCGTTCGCGATAACCGTAACGTGCGATAAGTGTCGTTAGAACAATACAATATTATTGCAATACGAGTAAAATAATATTATACACTTTAGGCATTGCAACGATTTGTCCGCCCGACGTGTATTTCTCATATTCGTTTCCGCGCGCCACCGCCGCCTATTTCCTCAGTCCGATCGTTAGAATTTTTCTCGCCGTCTTATTCCACCGATCCCGTATGTACACGAGAATATAAAAAATATTGCCGGCAAAATACATCATAACCGGACAGCGACCCATTGACGACTACCGGTGCCGCGTTGTTTAATAATACTAATAATAATACTTTACGGCGACGGTGCTCGTTCGCGTGCAGATAGGCAGGTCTATTCGTCGTCGCCGACGGCGGTCGTGTGTCCGTATACCTACCTTACGCCGACCGGAAGTCCGAGCGATCGTGTTTATCCGACGCGGGGAAAACACAACACGGTGTTGTGTGCAGGCACTGTACCTGTTATACACTCGCTGTACAGAAAAAAAATACAGAAACGATCGCGCAGATCGTAATCTATCTAAAAATCGGATTCGCGCCGTCTAACGTTTGCGCGTGCAAATGAAATGCAACAACTTATATTTGGTAAGTAAGGTATAATACGTACGCACAAGAATATATTATTATAATAAGCAATGCATTTATCAACCTACTGTACCTATCTCCAATATTATAATAATAATACGTACTATACTTGAGACTATTATTATTATTGTTGTCATTTATCATATTATAATATTTTATGCCGCGGTCAACAGTAATTACCGATAACGCGTTTAGTGCGCCAGAGAAGTCAACATTGGGTACCTATTTTAATAAGGTAGTACATTGATACGTTATCAAAAATTCCTAGACGTCATGAAAACGGTACGTTCCGAATTCGACACCAGTACACCTATATTTGGCGAGGAAAAAAATAATATGTAACTAAACAATAAATTATTCCCTCATTATGACATGTTCCATATATACATCTTATATTTAATATTTATATGCGATATTATATTAAATTACTGTGAACAATTCCACAACACGTCTCCTTTTTATCTGCCTTTAGTGATGTAAAATTGACTAAGCAGAAATTTAATTCCGCGGAATTTAATCAATAGCTGTTTGATTAGTAGGTAGTATTTGAAAAAAAAGAAAAAAATCAAATCATCAATGAGTTAGTATTCAAAAGTGTGTGTGAGAATATGTGTCAATCGATGAGCAATTGATGTGTAAATTTGTTTCGTAAGTTGTCGTTGCTCAATTTCTGTTCAAAAATCGTCCTCCTTTTTTTCATATATCTATACTTATTATGTTACACATAAATTTCTCATTTGATTTACTTGTTTTCATATTTTACGTGTTAACTAAAAAAATTTACAGACGTAGGTAAAACTAATCTGATAATAAATAATAATGCAATACGTTTAAAATAAAATTACTTTATCATTTTATTCTGGTAAGAATGTTAAATTATAAAATGTAATACATTTAAGTTTGTTGAAATACAGACTTGTATGTAAATTGATTTGTTAATTTAAACATTATAATGGACTCGAGCAGCGTATTTTATTTTAATTGCATAGCTAGTTGCAGTAGTTAAAATAATATAAAACATGTCTAAAAAAAATACAAATAAAAAATAATAATATTTATTTTTAAAAGTAGTGATTATCGATAATATTAATATACTATTTAAAATGCAATCCACTTTCTATTTTAAATTATGAGTGGATGAATTAATGTATTAATTTTACAATAATGCGGTTTTTAATTGTGTGTGTGTGTTTAAAGTAAATATTTATATTTCAGTATGGTTTATGGTAATAAATTAAATAAATTTGATACACTGGGTAGTTAAATTAAGAAATTTACTGTAATTTTTTCAAAACAATCGAGATAAACTAAAACAAAAAACTAATAAAAATCTGGAATACTAAAATCCGTTTTCGACAAAATTGATTTTTGTTTGATTAACCATAGGTAAATACATAAAAATTTAAGAAATAGTTATATTATTAATTTTTAATATAATAACATTCTCAAAAAATGTAGGTACATTTTTATTATTTAAAGACATTTAAAATATTTAATTTTGTTATTTATTTTTGATTTATGTATAATACAATTTTAGTTTTTCAATCAAAAAACTTGAAAAGTTGTTCTTACAGTAATTAAAAAATGTTAAAAATGCAAAGTATTGATTATTTCTATAAAAAAATTAAGTTCAAACTTAAACAAAATTGGATGCTTAAACAAAAATTAACGATTACCTATACTTATTTTAATTTAGAAATATCTTAGGTTCATTGAGTTATGAATCTTTTTACAATCATGTTTATTAATTTATATTCCATTTAAACATTTAGGCAGGGACGATTCCCCATTTTTCATTTAAATATTAATTTTGGACTAATTAAATAAAATAAAACCTAACCTAGGCATATTAAAATATTTTGTTTTTTATTATTATTTTGATGAGTAAAATACTTTATGTGCCATTGTTAAAAATATTGATTTTTCGTTAAACTATATAGTTTACAATTAGCTAAATCAATATTGAGAATTATGGTTTTGGAAATTTAGACACTTAAAGCTAATGTTTGTTCACTGACAGTAATACGTGGGTCAGCTTTGGTCATTTTTTTAAGTAATAGTGTGTTGTTTTTTATAAGTGAATTACCTAAAAATAAAGTATGAATGTCAGTATGTAAGTTACATGGGTTAGCTTGGTATCCATACATTCAACAGTAATTAATTTATTAAAATGGTTATTACGTTATAATGGTTAATTTTATCTGTTTTCAACAGATAATAATTGAGTTATAATTCTTAATTTAATTTTCTAGGTAATAAATGATAAAAAAATAATCGAGAAATTTCAAAATCTAATGTAGCGATCGAGTGTATTATTGTAAATTTAATGTCACGTGAAACTTCTTTAGCATTTTTATACTTTAAATATGAATATTTCATTGCGATTAATAATTATTATGCTCAAATGGTACTATTGTAATTAGTATAAATGTATATACAATATACATAATTGTTTTTGACGTTTAAATATAGTAAATATATAATATGAATACATTTTATAACTCATCTTATAATATATAAAAAATATCATTTTCTATTCTAAAATTTCAATACTTAATTATTTCATAGGCTATTTTTCAATGATATGGCTTCATAATGATCTACACTAAACAATATATTTATAAAATATATTATTTTTTAATTTGGAATGTGAGTTAAACTTCAGTTATCAAAAGTATTTAACTATTTTTAACACTTTAAAATATTTTATGCAAAGGTTTTTAGAGAAATAAAATCCCATTTTATAATAAAGTTATTATTGTATATTTTTGTTTGCTGGAAAAAAAAACCCCGGTTTTTAAATCGGATTACACGTTAAGTTTCCGTTAATTCTGATTTAATAAATATTGATTTTCCAACAAAAATAAATAGAATTTACCAGGTGATTATATTTTAACAGTAAATACTCTCAATCTCAAAAAGTATAAGTTTTTAAAAATATATTTTTTTTACATAATTTTATGTCATACAAAACAACACTATAGAAAAAAAAAAACATTAAATTATTTAATTTTTTTTTTCATTATAATTTTTTAAGTTTTTACTTTTTTTATTAACAATTAACAACATACATTATTATATACATTATATTATATACAATTCCATGGTCAATATAAAACATTTTTTGATAATTTTGATAGATGAAATACCTAAATTCTTGAAAAATATTCTGTTATGGAGTGATTGATAATTTTATTATTGTCATTCAAAAAATGAAAAAAAAAAAACTTAAAAAAAACGTTATAAAATACTAAATAGTAAATTCTTATTTTTTCCAAAATATTTTTTTATAATGTCCGAGATAATGTAGGCAAGATAACCACTATTTTATCATTAAATACACTTTTATTTGAAAAATGATTTTTATAGTATTTAAATACAATACTTACTTACGCAAAGAGCATAACAACAATTCAAATTCTTCAATTCCTTTAACGTCATAAAATAAATCTAAGCATTGTAAAAAGCACGGCTATTAAAATATATACTCCAGTTAGGATTCTAAAAATTAAGATTTCAATTAATGCATAATCAAAGAATGAAAATAGGGAAGATAGTGCTCTGTATATCACCCTGTATATATCTATACGTATGCCATTATATAATTTGTCTGCCGTATGCTCGTTTTTATACGCGTGTAACGGATTTCTTTCACGTATTCTCGCACGGGCTCAGCCAGTGTTGCTATTGCCGAACCCGTCTGGTCGAGCGTGTTGCCCAAGAAAATGTGGCGCCTGTCCATACTTGGCTGAATCCGATTGGACCGCAGTCAAAACAATACCACTGCAACTGCTGCACCGTTTATTACTTCATATTATTATTATTATTTTTATTACCATTATAACGTTCGGACTGTCATGATCGTGAACGTATTGAAATCGTGTGTGGGTTATGTGTTATCGAAAAGCGAAAATGTACGTATACATGTATAGAACATTATAGCTGTTGAGAACGAGTTTTATGTGTGTAACTTAATGTTTTAATCATGCTTTTTTCAAAACTAAAAAAAAAATTGTGAGTTGTGAAAACATGTCGAAAAGATACTCGCGCACAGTAGCAGCTCTACAAATCGTTATTCTTGTATAATATCTTTGATACATTTATAAAAAAAAAAAAAAATAGTAGTTAAAAAAATTTATGGTTTCAATTTTGAGACAAAGCATTTTGATCAATATCCGCAGGTAAATTAGTCGTTATACAGAATATATAGAGAATAATTTTTTCGAATGAAATGAATTGTAACTATTTTTTGAAAATCATTAAATACTAAACTATTACAATAATTCTTTGCGTGTAAATACTTTATGACTGGTATTACACTTAAATACATCTTAGGCTATTATTTGGTTTTAAGAATTTTGTATAAATATATATATATCAAACTATCATTATAGGAGTGATAATGTAATACATATTGACAATCTGTACTCCGATCTGTATCGACACACACAATGCGTGCTATTCTGTGTAATAATAGAAATACATATTCAGTACAGTTATGGTTCGGTGTAAACGTTGCACGATTATATATCAAAATAATAATAATAATAATAATTTTTATCCGTAAGTATAGCACATCATTAACTAGTTACAATGAAAAATACAACCTAAGTATTGATTCGACTCCTTCCACGCCTCGGTGGATTTCCCGACCACAATCGTTTATAACACCGCTATTGGATGTTTCACCTCCGGTCGTTAATTATCTTGAGAAAAACCAATCCACCTGATATCTGTGTGGGTGGTTCTTTACCCTTTTAAAAATGCATTTGTTGCAACATATACATACAACGTCGTGTCATGAGCAAAAAAAATATATTATCAATACGAAATCATAATATATTTATGTAATGTATATCATATTTAAATATAATATTATGACATCAAATCGACTAATTACCTCTTCAATGGTGCAACTAGCTCAGTATACTGGGGGGGGGGGGTACAGACCTACCTTAATATTATACTGAAAGTAACCCATATAAAGCATTATTTATTTT